TTTATATTGGCCTTCTTCATTTGCTTGGATGCCATGTGTAGGTCTTTCAACCATGTAATATCTTAATTGTTTATTTATCATTTCTTTAGTTTTTAGTTTGTTTTGTTAAGAAAACGTATTCTAGCCAAAATTAAATTTGCATATACGGTACAAGTACATGTACTGACCTTCTGTGTCCTAGTTTAGACTAGTAAAATGGGGTAGGTAATGGGACACATTAAATACCTGATAATATCTATAACAATTATATAATAAGAACTACGTTTTGTTGCTATAATTTGTCATATTTTTGAGTCTATATTATTTGATGTTTTTATGATAATTGAGCTACGTCGGATAGAAATCGACCGTATGCAAATGAAAATCAATAAATCTGTATACGTACTTCGAGTTGAAACAAGTTGCTTTCTTTAAAAAAAAGAAAAGCAATACGTGAACCTAAGACCGCTGACTGGTCACCAAAAGATTGTTGCTGAATTTTTGTTTGCATTTGAATCGAAATAATTGACTGTGAATAGAAGATGATTATGATGAAGTTAAACTACCTTTATTAAAATATGTAATAGTGTGTACATTCTTGCACAAGTCAGTTGAAAGCAATGTTGGATAGTTGTGAATAGAAAAGTGTTTATACAGCTACTATTTGAATATACATTTTAAGCTCGACTATTTCATTTATACTTGGGATTGTACATCATTTTTTCATAATCCTATTGTAAATCCCAGTTTCTACAAACCGGATGCATAATGCAAATTGCACACACCAATCGCAATATAAATTTAAGCACTCCGTTTGCTTTATAATCTGGATCCATTTATTTTATCTATCATATCTTTATATTTTGTTTCCTGCATGAATGCCTTCATATTCTCAACTCGTTATTAAAGTTGTCTGTACTCATGGTACATGTTGTATAGATAAATTTAAAGTCCATTGTCCATGTGAAGTGAAACCCTGTGGCATGCAACTTATAAGAAGGTTTCGTATATTTTTCTTGAGAGTAACACACCAGCTTCATTTGGACCTCTTATATAGAGACTTATTTTGGTCTCATAACAGTCTGATTAAAACTATTTTTCTATCTACATCTAGCGCTGAGAGGTTTGATTTTAATCAGACTGGTCTCATAAAACATCTCGAATTTTAAGGAATTCCTGAAATTACTTAAATCAATCCAAATATTCTACAGGGAAACTTGGTTTTGAACAATATCTTATTTTCAGAAGTTTTATGAATACCTGAACATAAAGAACCAATTTATATAAAAAGACATGTAGTTATAAAAAGATACCAGGATTCACATGTTGTACACCAGACGTGAGTTAAGTCTACAAAGAATCATCAGTGACGCTCGAATGAAAATAGTTAAAAAGGCCAAATAAATTACGAAGTTAAGTAATCTATTCTTTGGGTATAAAATATTTGGCATTTTGAAAATGTCAAAGTTTATAAAAGTACAGTGACTCAAAAAAGAAAACAAAACAGAAACAGCTAGAGGTCAGAATACCGTTAGCAATGATGACCGTGCTTGAAAGTCAAATATCAAGCTCGTACTGAATTTTGATAAGAAAAGCGAAAAATCGCATTCGCGAGTGAAATTGATATTTATGCATGAACGTGGTATTTTTGCGCAAGAAATAAATAGAAAGCATACGCACTGATACTCTGGATAAGAAGACGCATTTGCGTCATCACATATAGTAATCTAATAATTGAACTCGGATGTCAAACTACCTACCTCAAGTGTTTTTACTCCGGATTCATTGACATTTTATCCGGAATTGTTGTGAACGCAAACCGATAGTGTGCGTGCGAAAAGGGTGATGTATAATGTGAATGAATCAAGACGTGTAGGATAGGTGGTCAACACAATGAATACAATTTTCAAAACCGTAATATATATAGTACAAATGTTTAGATGTTATGAAGTTGAAATAATAAAAGAAAAAAAAAGAATTGAAATTTTATAATAAACATACATTCCTGTTAGTGAACTTTTCCCCCAAAATAGCTTGAATATAATATCAATAAACACAAATGTTAAGTATTTACGGATGGACATTTCATTTATCAAATGAATCTCTTTTTAAATTCTAGCATTCCACTATATGAATATTGTATACTTATTGACTGGGTATGAGTGGAATAGTAAGTTTATTGTCCCCAAGGTGCAACTCAGTATTGTCCGGAGGCGTAGCCGAGGGCAATAGTTGTATCCGAGGGGACAATAAACTTACTATTCCACGAATATCCAGTCAGTAAGTGTTTTATTATATCGAAAAAGACAACAGACAATAAATGGCGGTGATAAATAAACTATCGATATATAAAAGGCAGAAACCCAACCATAACGTTTACTTCATAAATATTCTGAAATGCTAAGGCTACGTCTTCCACTGACATCAACCCTGAATACAATAGGTAAAACGCGACGTCGTTACTTCCGCGGTATTTTCAAAATCCTCAAATCCCGTAGCTGCATTTGAAATTCCGCGAAATACAATGACGCTTGCGGTCAAATAGTTTCATCGAGGTCCAATAGTTGGAAACTATTGATCGGCCGGTCAAATAGTTCAACGCTTGCAATTTGAAAAAAATAGTCAAAATATTGTGTACTTATTTTATATAGGAAATGATAGCTGAGGTATAATAAATTGCTATACAAAATATAAGCAGAGACTTATAAATCCATACTAAACAGTATAAAATAATTTACATTATGATAGTAATTAATTTTGTTATGTTTATTGTAAAATATTAATAACGTTTTTGTATGTATGAGATGCAAGGATTTAAAATCCTTGTGAATTGAAACCACGCGAGTATTTTTTTTCATTCACGACCGTTTAAAATTTAGATATTTAGCTAAGGCTTTGGGTACGCACCCCTGCTCATTGGTGCTCACAAGTTATATATAATTTTCATAAATGTAATGACTTATCAAACCTGTGAGACGTAATGCACGTATACATTACAATATTAATTTTATTCTATAATTATAAGGGATAAATTCAGTCGCAGTTTTACCTTAACAATGAATATTCTCTTAGTCTGGTAGTATCTATTAATGAAATTAGATCTTTTTTTTTATAGAAAAATCCTTTTGTTTGATTATCTTTCTGCTTACCGACCACTGTTTTTCCAACCTTAGATAAATATTTTTAACAGAAATATCGTTTTCTTAATTTTCTTCATGCTTTCCGACATTTTCTCATGCTATGATTGAAATACTAAATATCAAATGATAAACGTTCAGAAATAATCAATTTATTCTGGGTCATTGTATATCGATAAACTATTCCCAGGTTTATTTAATACTTCACACATAACGCGTAGAGGGACCGTCTCAAAGCATGCATTATATAATTGCGTTATCATTATACTTCAGATATTCAATAAACATTCACATTATTAAAACATATATGTTTTGTCAAAAGGCAAATAGGTTCTAACATATATTGAATTTTAGAATGCAACCTAGTCTTTATTGTTTTACTTTCAAATCTACAAATGAACTTTGCCGGATTGTTGAAATATACGATGTCACGTGGTAGCATATCCATAGAGGGACCGTATCAAAGACATAAATAACTACCTGTATAAATAATGGAAAATTTTCGAAACATTCCGAGAATCGTGATTCCGAGGATATCGAGTGGCCCATGGACACTTCCAAAACTCGCCAATATATAAATGTGAACCCCTCAGGGGGTTCACGCAAAAAATCTCTATTCTTTAAAAATTGAGTTGATATATGAACCCTACAAAACAGACCAAAATTAGCCTTTTCAGTTTTCTCAAAAAGAATTTTTTCATTCTTTCGTTTCATCAAAAATCAAACTGCTATTTTTGGAATGACAAAAAAAATGAATCACACAGGACAATTTTTGAAAACTGCAAATTAAGATTTTACAACAGACTTTGCCTTTTATTTCAAAACCGCCATTGTTTGGTCTATTTGCATCTCAACATAAGAGAGAGTAATGCAAAATTATATTTGATTAAAATTATACACAGTGAGGGGGATGACACGTTTTTTGGGATTTGGGATATAGGATGTAAGAAAGAAGTGCGGATGTCGGATACTTTGGGTAAAAAGGGGGATATAGGTGGGTAAAAAGGTGGGATTTAGGAAAAAGAAGGGGGAAATAGGGAAGTGTGAAACAATTACAAAAAAGCGAGATTTTGGGAAATGATCACCCCGTGTCGCCCACCTCACATGTATTTTAGAAAGTGGTTTCATCATATGTGTATATATGGTTACATGTATGAAGCCTTAACTAAAAAGTTCAGCATTTGATTTTTCAATATTTAGATATGACAGATATCTAGATTGGTAGTATAATTCTAAATTGACTAAATATTTTTATTCTACCTATTACAGGTCAGTCCCACTATTTTTTTATAGTGAAAAATAAACATCAGCCCAGTTTTATCGAGTGACAAATTTTGTTATAAACAAATCCTTTATACGCTCGTTTGAACAGCTTTTTCATAATGTTACCGTTAAAGTTAGGATAAAACTATATGTCGTACAAGCTATAAAACACAAAAAGCATGGTCGTTATATTCTAGTTTATAGTTAAACGGTTTGTTGTAAATACATGTTCAAATGTCAAGAAATTATAAAAAGAAAAGCGAAAGTACATTGTGTAAAATTTGGTATTATTCCTTTTTTACGAGCAACATTTGAACTATTTGTATACAAATAAATAAGTTGTGAATCAATATAAGAAAATGAGTAATGATGGGATTTGAATCAAACGGTTATATATCAGATTTAACAACGTCACATGTTTTCTTTTTAAAAGCGAAAAATTCTCAAGTGAGACATATCAAATTCGAACAGATTTGAATAAATAAATTGTAAATTAATTCGTGGGGTACAATCAGACTTGCATAATTCTCTGTATTTGATTCGACGATGCGACTGAAGAATTGTGGGATGGCATTTCATGAAAAATTAGTTTATTGAAGTTTCGTTTTATTTATTGTCAATTCAAGGTGTGGATAAGACCCAATATAGATGGAATAATACGCATTGTGCATATTTAAATAGTATTACCACAAATTAAAATATTGTCTGTTTATTAGAATTCGTTTTTTTAATTACATATTTAGATAGCTACAACTTTTCTGTATATCGTTCAAGGCTTATATTGGACAATAATGTTATAAAAAAAACACGAGAAAGAAGAGCAAAAAAAGTTCATTTGAGAGGAAATAAAACATTATATACAGTGGAACTAATTTTACAGATATAGTAACAGAGAAAAGAAACTCACATTTTGATTGGGAAGAATTTTTTTTCTATTCAAGCAGGTAAGTTTATATCATTTTGCTCTTTTTAAAAGCAGACACAGACAAGACTGGAAAACTTGAACAAATGCGCTTATATGATCATTTTACGTTAAATTTCAAAACGTCCCATCTAAACTATGCTCCCACTTATATAAATCTGTGCAGATGGCTCACATACTATCTATTGATAGCGGTCACATGCATTTCAGTATAATATGTCTTCTATTTAGCTGGAAATTACTTACATGATATAACATAAAAGGATTTTTTACATAGAAAACGTTGATTGTGTAAAACTAGTCAATGCTTTAAGGGACTTATTATGTACGTGTTTGTAAAAATAATTAGTGAGTTGCTCAGGGGACATGCATTGGAAAATCACTTGTACATTAATTACATTTATATATCCATACAGACGTGTACTGATTATTTAAGACAATTTATGATTATTTTCGTAAAAACAATAATCTGTATTATAGGTAAGACATCTTTTACAAATTATTCGCTCAAAGACAATATTGTCAGAATCAATTGATGTTTACAATTATTATTTTTCAGTATAATTTCTCGTTTATTTGTTAACCACTTTGAAAGATTATTTACATTTCATTTGCCTCTTTACTTATTTATGTATTAAGTGGAAAACAAATAAAGAAGATTATCATATGAAAAAGAAATATATATACTAAGTATATATATATATTTATGTTTTAAGTTGGTTATATGGGAGTAATTTATGGTTGCTTCTGTGATTTTTTAATGTGCAGCAGCTTAAGGTAGATAGGGTGTCTTCCTCCATCTTGGATTTTGTAATACCTGAAAACAATCGGTCTAGATCTTTAATAGAATGTGCAAATTTTTAGAGTAGTGGGTAATTCATGTGTAAGAATTTTCATTTCAATATAGAAAATGACATGTTTTATCATATTTATGGTTGTATTTTACAAAAAACAGAAAACTTTTGTTTGATTCAATTTTGTCCAACTTTGCCACATAAGGGGAGGCAACTCAAATGTAAGGGCAGATAATTCAGATAAAGGTACTTTTACAACAGAATGTGTTAGGAATTTACCTATTTTATTATGTAGCAAGAAAACGAGTCCGGTGATCCCGTTTTTTCTTTTTCTTATCTGAAAGCATAATATTAAAGCTATCTTCTCATATTTTATCTCAAAATTCTATGGTGTAGTTTTCGTTTTATGGCAGAAAATCGGGTTTTCCATGCATAATCTATACAAAATCTGTTAATTTTGAACAACCTGTAGCGTGAAAATAAGCCCCGTGACCCATTCTTTTTATCATTTTTTTTCAAAAAGCTTGATATAAACTACATTTTGGCAAATTATCAAAAAATTCTATGGATTATAATTTAGACACCCCATCTACCTTAAAGCGTGCCAATATTGTTTGCACTGGACGTCCCTTCACGACGAAAAAATATTTTTTGAAGACTCTGTTTTTATGCGGCATTTCGCTAAGCTTTTCATATGTCGAAGAGAGATAAACCGACAAAACTATGACAAAAAAGACGATCGACGAAAAGATAAACAAAAGTCTACAACACACTACTAATGATGCTCCTGAAGATTAAGCAGACCCTGCTCCAAATGTAGCACCCGTTGTGATGCTCTTGGTAACTACACAATCGATGATATCGGTGATGTCATTATCGAGGAAAAGAGTACCAAATTTTGGCTACATAAATTGGTACATATCCGTGGTCATTTATGACAAAGATACTCCATAACGATCAACCAAACCATGATGGTGTAAGTCAAAAAGGGGCGGAAGATAACAAGGGGACATTAAAAAACTTTTTCTAAGGAATGACTTTAATTTTACCACCAGAAACTCTTGGTTCAATAGCTTCTTAGTCATCAGCAAATCTGTAAGTCATGGTAGGAAACGAACATGTTCAATATATAGATAATTACTTATTCTGAAAATAAACATAGATAGGCTGATGGCTGCTTGACGTCCAGTGGCAAACTGAATGCATATTCAGGATGGGAACACGTTAATGTAATATGAATGTTAACCCTGCTTTGTTTCAGCCATATCGTTGTCAGTTTTTTTCCCGACTTATGAGTTTGAAAGTCCCTTTGGTATCTTTCGCTTCTCTTTTAGCCCTGCTTTGTTATAGACTGACACGTCGGATATTTAACAGCAAGACATGTTACCTTACCCAGAAACATTATCCTGACTCTGAGCCGACCAAGCTTTGCTCTTACTCCCCGTTTGGTTTGACCCGGTAGGGCGTTCGAATCCTGACCTCCCGCTTTCCGGTGCGAGCACGCTACCACGAGACCACCGAAGCGGTTTCTAAGAATTTGAAACTCGTACGCATAAACATACATAAGATAAGATATTAAACAATCTTTAAAATATTTCTCTATTAAAATCATAGTTTGTTATAATACCCGTCCACTTATCTTATGAGGTATGCGTACTTAGATTGTGTAAGCTACTCATGGAGATTCATCATATTTTTGTTCAAAAATATAAATGAAAATAATTAGAAATAAAATCAAATCAATCGAATGTGTTATCCCACAGAAAATGGAAAAGTAAGCTGCCTCACAATCAAACAATATGAATTATGTAACTTATTCACAACAACTTTAAGTTAACAATGGTTTTCTAACCACATTACGTATGATCTCCAAAAATGGGAGGTGTACAGGTGTAGTAATGTTGTCTCACGTTTCAATTTGTCTCATTTCCCCAACTGTAACACGCATAGCGTTATAAAAATAAGAATATATTGTATGATTGACAATGAGATAAATTTCCATCAGAGACCAAATGACGTATATATAGAAACTAGCAACTATAGGTCACCGCACGACCTTCAACAATGATCAAAACCCATTCACTGCTATAATGGTTATGGCACGCATGTATAATTATTGCCTATTTTGTTGGTTTTTTTTAAAAAAATTTTGTACATGTACACCTATGGATGCGTATAATAATAAATCTGTTTGATAGATTACTCAACCATACTGTACATTCTATCAACTAGAATATAGCTCACTATTTTGGTTTTCATGGAATTCGTGTATGTTTAAAGTAAGGAGATGAGGTATGCTTGCCAATGAGACAACTATCCACCAAAGTCCAAAAAGACGAGGATGCCCAGGCCGTAATGAAAAAAATAATAGCAGATTTTTGTTCAGTGTAGAAACTAATACAGATACATGTATTTATATTCTAATACAAATATAGCCACATAAAACATCCATTGTAGGGAGAAACTTATAAGCTTTCTTGTTTTATCATTCATTTACTAATTCAGTTCTGCCGAAATGCGAAATAAGCATGAAAGACTGAATCTTGGATTGCTAAATGAAATCACTTTCCATTTTGGAAACTTTTAATTTAATCTTTTTGAATGGTTAAGTTTGGCAGGTCCGAGCGGATACTCACTGTCTTGAAGTGCTGCGATGTTTGGAATAAATTGTTGTTTTTTTGGTCTTTGGAAATAAAACTCTCTTATTCCTGAATCTTAACACGATAACCATAAAGATCTACTAGTTTATCATCATTAGTCCTCAAATAGTTTATGTTGAAAAGAAAATGGGCACTGGAAGTTGGATAATTTTCTTGTTCCTATAAATGTCTATTAATTTAATACTTCGTAAAATTCAGAACAAACGTATTTAAATAAGTTCGAGAACTGCATGGTTAAGGAGAAACATGCTTTATTTTCACCTCCAATTTTAACTGTAATGTTAAGGATATTTTGAGCTCCACGAAACTTTTATTTTGTTCTTGTCATGCACATCTAAGCTCCTAACAATAATTACTATTTGGTGTTTCGCGGACATGTTGATTATATTAATCTATTAACGACATCTATGTCAATGTAATCTACTTTACATGTTAAACACATATAATAATTATACTCGATCAGCTTTAAGTAAAGTGATGAAGTTATTTTCTACAATACGTTTAAAAATATCGTTGAAGTGTTTATTACCTGATGTCAGGTTAGCACGAGAAGAGCTTACCAACTATAGCTGTAATACAAAGATTGAACCAGTTGTGGTTGTTCGTAATGGAATGGTCGATAAGGCCAGATTTCTTAGGTTTGCGTCCGCTTGTTAGTACGCTTTTTGGCGGGGTGTAGTAACATTATTAACCATGACAAAGGATATATTTCACAAAATAATGATGATGTAAGCGATATTTAACTTTTGTCATAAAATTATTCATTTCCGAAATCATAAATTGGTGTAAAATAAACCAATTCTATAATATTATGCAGTTTTCTAAATATAAGACTATTTAATTAAGAAGATCGATTTCGAAAAATGGCGTGTAAAGTTGTTTTTAGATCTATTTATTTTTGAGTATGTTTTTTTATCCAGGCTGCCTGGTAAGTTTTAAAATTCAACTTGACGCAAATCATTACTAAAAAATACCCTAACACGAACATATCTTTATGCTCCGTCCATGTATAATACAATCTAATAATGTCGATTTCTGGATAATTATCTGGCATTGGTATTTTTAAACGTGGAGTAGTAATAGTTAAAAATAGATATCATAACTTCTGGCTGGATCTTTTTTTTTTTTACTTTAACATGCATTTTCTGGTTATTAATATATATGGTGAATGAATGTACACATGTAACAAAAGACCCGCAAGCTACAATAGATTTTTTTGTCAGTCGCAAATCATTCCCGGTTTATCACACTATGACATTGATTTGCGCAAGCAACCCAATTGTATAAGACAAATGAGATGTGTGACTCAACAACAAGACAGTCAAACCCAGCTATATTGATGTGTTGAAAAACGTTGCAATTCTTTTATTGATTTTTATTATAAACATTTTTTTATTAATAATGTTAATTTTGATTGAGAAGATTTTTCATATAGTCCTGCGTTGAAGGCATGTCCCTTTTAATGTCTTGCAGAATGTGACTATTACATATTCACGCAATACCGATACATATGATAAGATCAATAAGGTAAAAAAAACGGGGCGGGACACTTTGGGAAGCCGCAATAAATGTTCACCTCGTTGACTTCTGTATTGTGAGTTTATGGAAAGTTTTACAACACAAAGGCGCAAATCCTTTTTAAATTATTTCAAAAAACCTACGCGTAAATGTAAATAAGATGTATTTACGATACCCGTTGCCTTTCAGCGTTCGTTTCTTACACTAGGTCTTATTGCAAGTTTGTTCTGCTTTCTTTTTTATTCGTATATTTTTACCTTCAAGACATTAATTATACTTGTTAATATACCCTCATATTGCCTGAGTGATCAAGATCGATACTTTGGTGTTTTTAGTCTTTTTGCTAGTTGTTGTGGGTGAGTTTGTGCTTTTGTCGATTTGATTAGTCTAGCCTTTTTCAACTGATGTGTATAGTTTGTTCATGTGTTGTGCTGTTACACCACTTTCCAATGTTAGGGGAGGGTTTGACGCACGCAAAAATGTTAACCCCGCCACATTCTGTATGTGCCTGACCCAAGTCAGTAGCCTGTTTTAGTGGTTGTTTGTTTGTGCATATCATATTTGTTTTTTTTTTATTTTTGAATAAACCAGGCAGGTCGTTAGTTTTCTCGTTTGAATGTTTTATATTTGTCACGTCGGTAACTTTTTAAAGTTATAATTGCTATGCGATGTGGGTTTTGCGCACTGTTGAAGGTCGAACGGTGAGTGACCTAGTTGAAAACTTTAACGTCAGTTAGTCTTTGGTAGATATTTGTATCTTTAATTGTCAATATATGTATACCACTGTTTGTTTACATGTATATCCCTTGTACTTACTTCTCCTTTTTCTATTGATATTGGACATGTATTATATATTGTGAATGATTTATATTTTATGCATATTGTGCTTGTTTGTCAGGTGGGAAAATTATGTATTCAAATACACAACAGCCGTGTTACAAAATCTTACAACACTGAAACATCTGACAAACAATCGATTCGGCGATGTATATCAATATGATTTTGTTAGTACTGAAGAGATACAAACAAATACTTTTGTTTTTCTTTAATTTTGAGTTAGAATTCGCATCTAGATCAATGGTAAGTTTCTTTTTTAGTTAACATACTTATTGAGGGTCTGGATGGGAATTCCTTCATTTCTTTAGACCATTTATTTCTATTTCTAAACTATATCCCCACTATTCCCTATTCTTTATAATTTACCATCCCATTATTCTCTATTCTTTTTCGTCTTCTTTTCTCTATTCTTTGTTATTTTCGCCCTTTATTCTCTACTCTGAAAAAAAAAAAACCATCTAAACCCTGCATTATAATTATTACCAAAATAAAAACAAACCTTTTGCAGATAATTGTGCACTGTTGTTGTATTGTTGATTCTTTAGTTCTCTAGTTATGTTTTATTGACTCTTCATTTCACAGTTTTGTTTTGTTTAATTATTTTTTTTGCTTGTTTATCATGTGTAAATGTGAAGGTTGAAGGGTTGTGTGATTTCGCAATCGTCAGGTTAAGGCGAAGTTTAAATTTTAAGGGCATTTTTCTTTATCTTTAAAAATAACGCTTATTCTGTAAAATTCTCATGAAAATGATTTTACTGTTATTTTTTTTCTGATGATTTCTTTATTATGTACGTTTTTCATTTCTACAATCAGTATGGTTTTACCTAATTCTTTAATTTTCGACTGTTGTTCTTTAATTATTGTGCACCCAATTATTCTCTATTCTTTATATTTTTTGCTAATTTTTCTCTATTCGTTATTATTTTTAGCCATTTTCTCTATTCTATAAGCCCCATCCAGACCCTCGTCCACTACCCAAGCGGCTGTGATGCGGGCCCCGATTACTCGCATTTTATTTTGCAGTTGTCCGTTTTAATGTTTATATTATGTCATTCCATAACCATTTACTCTAAATGTGTTGCTAATTTTTCTCTATTCGTTATTATTTTTAGCCATTTTTCTCTATTCTATAAACCCCATCAAGACCCTCGTCCACGACCCAAGCGGCTGTGATGTGGGCCCCCGATTACTCGCATTTTATTTTGCAATTGTCCGTTTTATTGTTTATATTATGTCATTCCATAACCATTTATACTCTAAATGTGTTCGTGCAAAAAAATATTTTGTATTGTCTATAGACGACTTTCGAATTTGTGCACTTTCCCGTAATATATGATTTCCAATATCCAATGCTTATGTTATTAGAGGGTGTGGATGGGGTTTACAGAAAAGGGAATAATGGGCAGAGGTATAACAATTACTAATGCCATTGGTAAACTTTTTAACAATATTTTGAATACAAGACTTGACAAATTTTGTACCAAAATAATTTAATTCATAATTCTCAGATTGGCTTTACAAAAAATGCCAGAACTTCAGATCATATATTTATACTGAAAACACTAATAGACAAATACTGTCACAGTAAAGAGGGTAGATTATATACTTGTTTTTAGACTTTCATAAAGCATTCGACAGTGTAATTCATATAGGTCTAAAACTGAAGCTTATCAATATGAAAGTTGGTACTTTGTTTTATAATATTATATCAGATATGTATAAAAATAGTAAAGCATGTGTAAGAGTTGGAGCTTCCGGCTGTCACTGACCCATTTAGCATTAAATTAGGTGTAAGGCAAGGGGCTCACCTGAGTCCTTCTTTATTCAATTTTTTTATAACTGACTTTCCATCTTATCTTGACTCCTGTCTGGATGCAGTTTCCCTTCACTCAGAGAAATTGAATTGTTTGATGTATGCAGATGATATTGTAATTATGTCAACATCAGACACATGTCTCCAATGTAGACTAAATCAGCTAGAAAAATACTGTGCTGACTGTTGTCTGAAAGTTAATATTAGAAAAACTAAAGTTATTATTTTTAATAAGGCCGGAAGAAAAATTCGTGCTGATTTCCTGCTACAGAATAACTTGATTGATTGTGTCTCTCATTACAAATACTTAGGTGTTCACTTTACTGCATCTGGAAGTTTTCATCTAGCTAAAACTGAACTATATAATAAGGCTCTTAAGGCCTATTATAAACTAAGAAAGGATTTTATAAATTTGTCTCCTGGAATAAAATCCTGTGTTCATATTTTTGATCATATCCTTAAACCCAATCTGTTATATAATTCAGAGATATAGGGAGGTTATAATGTTTCTTGTAATAAATTACAATCCTCCTTATTTAATCTTGACCATATTTATAAAAATCTTCAGTGTGAGAAACTTCATCTCAAGTTCTCAAAATTTATACTTGGTGTACACAAAAGGAGTGTAATTTTGCTGTATTATCAGAACTGGGGCTTTTCCCCCTACAACATTATGATATTGTAAAGTCAATTGTTAAATACTGGTATAGATTTGAAAATCTTCAGACTGAATTCAGTCTGTTGAAAGACGCGTATAAATGCAGCCAAGAGCTTCACAAATCTAACATAACTTCTTGGTTCTCATTTGTTAAAAAAATATTAGAAGTTTTTAAAATTAAACAAGACGTAAAACATTTTGGACAATATGATTTTTTGAATATATCTAACAAATTAATTCACACTAAATATATAAACAATTGGTATGTTAGCCAAAAAAATGCTTCTGATGGAAAATTGTTCAATTATTTGAAATTTAAACAAAATTTTGGCTATAAAAAATAATCTCTCTTTGGTTAAGAACTTTGTTTTTAGAAGAGCTATTTGTAAATTACGTATATCTGCTAATAAGCTTCAAATTGAATTTGGCCGTTTTTCAAATATTCCTCGAAATGAAAGAATTTGCAAAAAATGCTCCTCTGGCTGTGTTGAAGATGAAATCCATTTTTTTAACTTCATGTGAAAAATTTAACTCTGATAGAGATGCTCTCTTTGGCTTTTTGTTTGCCATAAAATTCCAAACTTTTCTTTACTTGACAATCAGCAAAAATTCATATATTTATTAAGCTGTGAAGACAATCAGGTCCTTAATGCTGTTGGAAAATTTATTCTAGTCAATATGAGTTGTATTTATTTCTCATATAAATATATTATATACTATAAAACAAGGGCTTTTTTACAATCTAATTGTATTGTTATTGTGTATTTAAATTCTATGTATCTATGCTTATCAATGTTCTTTTTCCTCATACATGTATTCTCTATATGCCCCTTGTGGGCCCTTAATTGGTAATAAAATATATCTCATCTTATACAGAATAGAGAAAAATGAAAGAAAAAAAAGGATAGAGAATAATTGGCAAAAATATAAAGAAAAGAGAAAAATGGCCTAAAAAAATAAAGAATACAAAGTATGAGGATCCCCCATCCAGACCCTCTTATTACGTCACAGTAAGAACCGATTGTTCGTTGACGTTGTTTACGCCGATTGACCTCGGGTCAACCGGTGCAACTCATTCATAAAAAAAACTACTCCAGATTGGTGTACATGTCGACCTTTTTTTTATAAAGAAAAACATAGTCAACATTTATTTCTGTTTTTAAAACGTCAATTCTCAGGGTCATTATGACGTCACACGTCATTTCTAATGGTCGAACTTCCTGTGCAAACACGTAAATAATGCACTCAAATCAAACCATTGCAATGTACTTGCCGCAGACATCTTACTAATACCAAATATGTTATTCTAGCAACAATACCTATGAATTTAACCAACTGTACCGGAGGGCAATGTATACAGCCTCATCGGCCACACTGGCATACAGAGGAACACGAGTCTGCTGTCATTCTTTTTATAACCTGTTCATTAGCTGTTGGTGGTAAGCAATAATATGTTTGTCATGTTTTTTTCTTTCAGACTATGGAATTTCAACTTATAGTTAAATGCAAAAAGTTTAGCAGAATGGAATCTTAACATTTAAATATCTAAATGGAATAAAAGAGCACCATGGTGAATTTGACAACTGTCTCTCCTAATATAACGGAAGTCGCTAAGCATCACGTTGAGGAAAAACAATCGGCAATTTTATTTTTCATATTTTGTTGTTGTGGCGTTGGAGGTAAGACATATTCAGTGCTACCATGTCGGGCCTTCTTTTACTTTAGGGCTAGGGTTCATTTATGGTTAGGAGAGCGGATGTTTTAGGTTAGGGTAAGGTTTAAGGGTTCGGGCTAGTGTTAGGGTCAGGTTTAGGATTAAAAAATATTCTAAATTAGTTACGACCCAAAAGTAAAAGAAGGTCCCATGTCATCAAGACATCATGTATGACCGGTGAAAATAAATTAACCCTAATGATCATTGCAACAGACTTGAGTTGTACAGTTAGTTTACTGTACTAGATCTATATTTGCTGTAATAGACCTTATCGCTATTTGGAAATCTGCGCCGCTTGACCCGAGAATCTGCACCTCTTGAACTATTGAGTCATACAACAATCACTTTTCCATTGTGGCGTCAGATATTTTCTAGTATTGTGACGTTAAAATTTTACAGGAACCTTTGTGATGTCCAGTAATGGCGGACAAATAGCGATAAGGTGTATGCAGTAAGAGAGAGAGAGAGAGAGAGATGTTAAATTTTGTATTTGCAATTTTTATTGCTTTTCTATTCCACCGAGTTTGAAATGAAGCATATTCAATAGAATCAAACTTTCCCATAACGAACTTTCCAATATGACGCAATTTCCCAGGCATGTGCAGTGAATTTTAACACTGCTCTATGTATCTAGGATACGCTTCCTCGGCCCTTGTATATTGAAATGTCCTTTTTTAAAAAGAAAACTTTAAAACATTGCAAAGGGTTCTAATGATCAAGTAGAAAATGTCTCTCTGAAAGATATGGTCGAAACAATGAATTGTTTGTTCATTGTTATCGTGATAAAGCCAAGGTTGCAAATCCCTCGGACAAAGCCTTAAAAGGTTTTGGTCCTTTTGATTTTTGCTCTCCAAAATTTTGATATCAAGCGTAGATCTACACGTTGAGGTGTATTACAGAGAACAGAAATCATATAATTTGTGTAAAGCTCCGTGCCCCCCCCCCCCCCCCTAGATCGTCAATAAGGTAATATATGGATTTTACTGAATGGCCAATAAGTCGAAGCCGTAATCTAAATAAAACCTTATAGAATAATGACATTTTCATTTTTATACGGACTTTATCAGCTAGAATATCCCGAGCTGATAAAGTCAGTATCAAAAAATAAAATGCCATTATTCTTTTTATCGGCAATTTGTCTTAACTGTATGTTTTTTGGTTGAAAATATGAAATCATTTTTACGCGTACAAAACGTTGTGATATTTTTTTTTTTGGCAAATGAAAATAAAAGTGTTGCTTTGGTTTCTATTGACAATTTTCAATGATGGTTTTTCAAATTGTCTGATAATCTCTTAAAAGTGTTTCAATATTGCTCAATTATCATCTCTGTAGTTTCACATAGCTTATATCACAATATAGAATGTAAAACAAGAATTTACTGCCAGGTTAACAACAACATTCTCTGTAGAGCGAAACTTAAAAAAAATATAAATGAAAAGTTTTTCCTGCCTGTCGGGCCTTAATAATTTTCATATGCTAGGGGAAACAAACATTCATTTTTCCATGGTCTTATAAACAAATTAGTTTGTAGTATAATTAAGTTTGCAATTGTTTGACTGAGACACCATATCGAGGTCGACCAAACCGAATTTCGGTGTTGAATAGCCTATTGGGATTATTCGTCGTCGTACGTAAAGGTTATGTCCTTTTCGTTTATATTATACGGTCTTTGTAAATAGTTAAGTGTCTGTGGATAATGATGATAGATTTGTTTGGTTTTGATTCTAAATATAAAACATTTGGTGACATTTGTTTGATTTTTATTTGCACAAAATATCAAAACACCACAATACTAATCTTTTGGGTCAAATGAAAATTTGTAGGCTAATGTGTTTGTTTATCCGGCACTGTACCAATTATTGAATGTCTTCGGTCTGAGGTTGAACCATTGGCTAAACAATTTTCAATTTAAACATGTTTTATATTCCTTTTATTAGTTTTCTGATCGACATTAAAGAGAGCAGGATTAAGATCGACAACGCCATATGTTCAAGTGCCTGTCACAAGAACCTCGTCAGCAGTTGTCTATTGTCTTTATGGTTGATTTTACAGTCTTTGACTTTTTTACAACCTTTTGCGACTCGGAAGAATTAGAGCTTATTGCATAGACACCCGTGCCTATTGGTCAAGACTATTTGTTGACCTTCTAGCTTCAGTGGCGGATTCAGGGGGATCGGGGCGTAGAGGGCATACGCCCCCTTTATATCATTGTTATCATAAAATCGTTCAAATGTTTTTTTTCAAGATATTTCTTCACTTTTTTAGAATTACGTCCCCCTTTCAAAAATCCTGGCATCGACGATTCGCATTAAAAGAGACAATGTGGCTTTTTATATTAAATGCATTATGTTATCTCCCCTGGATAAAGAGGGGTTAAGAATTATTAATGGCATATGTTGCAGTCAAATACTCATACATATATATATCAGTCTTCACGATAAACTTTAAAGTTTTGAATCCACAGGCCCGAAGCTCAATTTCACGAAAAATTTTAGTTGGATTCTGTTGGCCTGTAGAGAAGATTTTCAAAGGCCCGAAAGCAATTTTACAATATAAAAAAAATAAGGAGATGCGGTATGATTGCCAATGAGACAACTATCCACCAAAGATCAAATGAAATGGATTTTAGCAATTATAGGCAACTGTGCGGCCTTCAACAATGAAAAAAACCTATACCGTATAGTCGGCTCTAAAAAGCCCCAACATCGGAAAAATATGACACAATTCAATTGAGAAAACTAACGGCCTAATTTATAACAATACAAATTACGAAAAACAAGTATGACAGACATGAACCAACGACAACCACTGAACTACAAGCCTGGGCTGGTCGGCCTGTGGTTAAACATGAAGACTGATATATATAGTGGTATGACCCCTCCATTTGCAGTCTTTGTATCTAACGATTTGCCTAAGCGATATATACTTTAAGTACCTCATATATGCGGTAACGCTTTCATGGCCATGATTGGTTATCCTTGGAAAGATATATCATCTTGAAAGTGCATTTTAGCATTACCGTATTTGTTTTATTTCATATTTTTAAACTGTACTTGTTTATAGTTGATATCGATTTCTAAATGGATTTTACCTTTTATACCTGATTGCAGGAAACAAATATGACTTTGCTACCCACCCTTTCAATATAACATTAGCGGTACCAATTTTGCTCTACCAGATGCGCTTGTCAACAATATATATTTATATAATAGTTATTGAAGAACTGGTCATTATCATGATATATGGACTGCTCACAGGACAATGGTATTGACTAAGACAGCGATAATGACTGAGCCGTAGGCGAGGTCATTATCGCTGTCGCAGTCACTGATACCACTGTCCTACGGGCAGTACATGTATCACGATAATTACCAGTTCTTCAAAAACTATTATGTTTATTTCATTGAGGAACCATGTTTTTAAAAATTCCCATAAATTCAAATTGTTCAAAGCAAACTCGAGTTATTGTACGATTTCTATAGGAAAGAGTGAAGACCAGTCATAGTGATAACTAGAAGTCACTGCCATTCATTTAAGTGCATTTTTTTCAGTATAAGAATACAAAATAAAGTTTTCTATAATTTTATAATTCTTGTTGCTGAGTAGTTTATCTCTATCAGCATCGGAAAGTACAGCAAAACGATCATTTGAGTTGTCTGTATCAGACGTGCCTTTCAGTTCAGCCATGTTCCAAACGTCTGAATCGCGATTGCGTTTTATTAAAGGGACATCACTTTAAACAGAGAAACCACGCCCCACTGGTCATTAACATAAGTCTTATAAAATAACCTTCTCATTATAAATTCTGATGTACGTATAGCACCTTTAACTAACAATTATAAGAAAGTTTAATTTAAGACCACTTAAATTCTAAATTCTTATTTGTAAATATATCCAGTTCTTACTTAACTTATTCTTACACTCAGTCAGCACATTATGAATATTATTTTTAAAATTTTATGATGACAATCCTATGAATTAGTTATAATGTTAATTATTTAGTAATTATTATTGCCTAAATTCAGTCATCTGTACATAATTAAATGTTTCCTTATGTTCTAAGGTGTATATAGTTGCTACAATTATACCCTATGGGTAGTGCTCCACAATTAATGGAGGATTATACAAGAAACTGAACTGAACTGAAAGTCCGTTAACGACCGGTTTTCTGGTCCGTTTTTTTCTGTTAAAGACCGATGGAATTTTTTTACTAAAGAATAAAGAATGTCATGTGGCCCCTTGTTATCCAATAAGAGAAGCTAATTCTTAACCGATATGTTTATTTCATATCGGTTAAGAATTATAGCTTCTCTTATTGGATAAAAAGGGGCCACATGACATTCTTTATTTTCAGTAATAAATTCCATCGGTCATTAACAGAGCAAAACGGACCAGAAAACCGGTCGTTAACGGACTTGTACATGTTAATGACCGGTGGGGCGTGGTTTCTCTGTTAATGACCGGTGGGGCGTGGTTTCTCTGTTTAGAGAGATGTCCCTTGAATAAAACTTTTTTCCTGTTTTCAGTTTTATATTTAAGTTGTTGAATTGTTTACCATATGTTTTTGGTGAATTATAAAATTATAGAGGCTTTATTTAGTATTCATATACTGAAAAAATGCACTTAAATGAATGGCAGTGACTTATTGGTCACATGTTACATTATTACATGTATACACCTTATCGCTATTTAGTCCAATCCGGAAAAAACAGTCATTTAGACAACTTCCTGTTTGGGTCAACAGGGTAAACAACAAAGGTCATCTGTAACGAGCTGAGGGAGGGAAAAATTTAGAAAGCGATCAATAGCAAACTTTGATAGATTATGATCCACTTTTTCGAAACTCAAATTATAGTCAAAAAAATATTTTGTTTGAAGTAATTACGATGTTTTAAACAGGTCTCATTAAAAAGTATCATGCATGGTGCATTGTTAAAACAGGGCCCCAGATAGCTTCAACTGGA